GGTCGCTGGGGGCGCTCTTGGAGACTCACTTCCCCTTAGCTTCGGCTGAGACAGGCCCCCACCCCGTGGGCCAGGAAAGTTGCAGGGGTGGGGATGGAAAATGTGGGATGGAGGGGGGATACGGGTCGGAGGGGAAGGAGGGAGCTCGGGTGGGACGGGAGGAGTGATGTGGAAGAAAGAGAAACGACGTGCTAGGAGGGAGCGATTATGGGGGGAAGGAGAAATTTGGGGGAAGGAGGGGTGAAGGGATGGGGAAGGGAGTATGAGGATGGGAGGGCGATGGTGGTGAGAGAGGACCGGAGGGGCCTTTCCATCGCACTCCACCTAAGCCGCCTGGTCACCCGGCCGCTCCTCACCCCACCTCGCCCCACCCCTCCCAGAGTTAGGGAGCTTGAGTTTTCTATGCTGTACGTCAGGCCAGCAGGGTTCGTCAGGCCGGCAGGGTTCGGCTGGATTATACTCATGAATATTTCCTGCAGTAAGTGCAGGGAGAGGGTTACAAGAGCTACTAGGGCCTGGACTCCAAGTCCCCAGCCCCCAACTGCTGTAAGAGACAGACCAATGACTGTAAAGTACTCAGACCTGTACCTGGAGCAGTGCAGGGTATGGTGGCCATTGCTGCAATTACCTGGTAGTTCTGGTGCCAGCCTCCAACTGCTGACATCTCTGCAGGAGACCACCCTTGGATGCTGGTGAGAACCTGGGCTCACCAGCTGGAAGGCCTGGGCCTCACTCCAGGTTTGCTGGGCGTTCACCATTCCCTACAACCCCCAGCCCCCATTTACACCCTGGGAAACCTTGCACGGGGTCATTCCCCTCTCTGAAGCCAGTGACTTATCTGGGACCAGACAGGTGTGCGAGGAATTGAGGAGAGCTTGTCAGTAATCGGGAGTCGTGAACCACTGAGTGCCTGGCACAAGTAAGTTTTGTGAGACCGTGGCCAGAGTGTGGAGCTGGGACCCAGAAGGTCTGATTCTAATCCTGTGTTTACTGCTCAGTGCTGGGTGGATTTAGGCCGGTTTCGTTTCATCTTCCCAAAGTCCTCTGAGGACCTCATTCCTGCCTAGTGTCCTGGGTCTGCCCTCACCCCTCCACAGTCCATGCTCCCCGCAGCAGTCAGAAGGATCCTACTAGAACCTCAGTCAGATCCTGTAACTGAATCCCACTCAGAAACCTTCCACGGCTCCAGCTCAGCCAGAGCACAGCCCAAGTCCCCAAAAGATCCTACAAGGACCGACATGGTCTGGCCCCCCTCCCACCTTTACCTCCCTGACCTCACAGCCCCCCACTCTCACGCTCACCCACGCTGCTTCAGCCACACTCATCCTCAGCCCTTCCCCAAGTGTGCCAAACTCACTCCCACCTCAGGCCTTCGCACTGGATATTCTCTCTGCCTGGAATGTTCTCCCTGAGGCTTGCACAGCTGGCTCCTTCCATCAGATCCCTCTGTCTCTGTTCAGCTGTCACCTCCACGGAGAAGCCCTCTCTGACCTGGTCTAAAGCGGGCACGCCATTATTCCATCACTCTTATTGTCTTAACTTGTTTTTTTTTTTTTCTTGACGGTACTTAACGTTTCCTGCTGTCATATTAAAGATTCATTTATTTGCCTGTTTAATGTTGGCTGTCAAGGCAGCTGGATGACTCTCATGTGGCCTCAGCAGATTCAGAACATCAAAAGAGAAAAGGAGTTTCCTGAGCCTCTTGTTTATTTATCCAGCTTGTCCGCTGGCAAAGCCAACAATCCCAAAAAGGCCACAGAACAGGCCTGGAGGATTTTCTCCAAATTTGGGGGTCCCCATAGAGCGGCCTTCTGGCAGTGGGGTTCATAGCCCGGCTCGGCCAATACTAAGCTGAATGACCCTGGGCAGTCTGCTCCACCTCCCTCAGCTGCAGTGCCTCCTGGGTAGAATAGGGTTGAGGTGAGGAGTAAATGATCCAATCTAGGTGACACACCTATCAGAGTCCCTGATACCCAGCGAGCATAAGTGGGCATTAACTGTCAGAATAAGCTGTCAGAGCTTATTCCAGTTCAGCTTCTCACCTGATGTGTGATCAGGTCTCGTTTTTCTCATCTGAAAAATGGGAAGAACTGTTCCTTCCTCACAGGGCTGTTGTGAGGACTGAATTATATATATGACGAGAGAATGCGCGGAGCCTGGCACACAGTAGGTACTCGATAAATGTTAGCTTTCCTATTTCACACCCCTGGTTTGTGTGCAGACCAGGATCCCAAATAGCATGTCACTGTTTCCTCTTCAATCCAGAGGCAAAATCCCCTTCGGGAAGGAGATGAGCTGCTTGTACACCAAGGAGAGAAGAATGTTTTATGGCCCCTGACTGCTCTCTTGCTAACAGAACTTGATTTTGCTCAGGAATCGGGCAGGTGTTTAGGAAGGTGAACCACCCCTTCCCCAGGAAGTGAACGACCATGTGTCTGAAGCAGCCAGGTAAGTCCCTCTTTGCTAAGGATGGGTCCAGGGGTGGCTGCAGGGGCACCTTCTGGGAGATGTCTTTCCTCCCTGTTTGCTTCCTCTTTTTGGGGTGCTGTTGTGTGCAGATGTGGGGTGGGGTGGGGGTGGGAGGGTATTATGAGGGAAGTCAAGGAAAATTGCATAGACCCAAACTAGAGCTGCAGAATAACCCTCCCTGGCACCAGCTACCTCTAGACTTCTTGTTTAGTGAGATAGGCAAGTGAATACAGCATGAGTCAGATTTTCTCTTCCATGCAGCCAAAAACATTCCTAACCAAGATGACCTTCCACTTACGGCCATGGTGAAGATAACGTGTCTGTAGCACCTCACACAGTACTGCCATGGTGAGCATTCAAAATGTCACTTCGTTTCACTATTATTATTTTTGAATAGCGTGGGCTCTCTACGTTTATCAGGCTAATAAGGCACCCAGCTCTCTGGCTGTGGCATCTTGCAGGAACAGGCAGGCTCTAGGAAGTAGCAGAGACTCCAGCCTCCTCTAACCCACGAGGACCGACAGTGCCCTGCTGCGGGCAGGGCTGATGCGGCCTCAAGAAGGAAGGCGAGGGAAAGCCACTCCAAGCACGACCCCTGCAGCCCATGGGGAAAGGGCTGGACCGTACTGGTGCAGAAATGTGAAACCAGACATGCGAGAAACCAAGCAGCACTTGAGAGTTGGAAGACTCAGGTCTATTACGCCAGCTCGGGGGCAATTTTGCCTTTATATCCGCGCTGTTACAGTTCGCATGGGCTATGGGCAGTTACAGAGCACATGATTTAGAATTTAGGTAATACTTCTGTTCTGGAGACAGAACAATCATAGGGGAGGGTGGGTCTTCACGCTGTTACAGTTCGCATGGGCCATGGGCAGTTACAGAGCACATGATTTAGGAATTTAGGTAATACTTCTGTTATGGAGACAGAACAATCATAGGGGAGGGTGGGTCTTCAGTTGATCTGGAGATCACTCTGCCCTAAGGCCTATGCAGTAAGCAAGTCCACAGAAGCAGAACAAAGAGGGGATTAGCTTTTCGAGTGCAAATTCCTCTTCATTCCTCCCTTTAAATTCTTAGAGGGCATCAACCTCCTGATCATTCTGGCCTAGGGGCTGGTATAAGGGTGGTCCGGATGTCACAACCATCTGTAACTTCATGGATTCTAGGCATGAGGAGACAGTTTAGAATACAGGGACCAAATAAGAGATCTATGAAGAGCATGGATCTACAAGTGGGAGAAGCCAGGATCTCCAACTCCATGTTCTGGACCAGGACCCCCGTGACTCATTTAATTGTTGGAGGGTTAGGGCAGACCCCTTTTAGGATAGGATGACCTCAGTGTCTTTGACAGCAGACCCGAAACCCCCTAACTAACTTTCCTGCCTACCTCTTTTCTAAGAGCCATGAACCCCCTTATTATTAGTATGGATGTTGAGAGAAGGGATGTATCTCC